TTCGCCAAGCCATTTGTCTTTGGGGGCCATCTTCCTGATGTACTCCTGGATCTTAGTTGTTTCATCCTGGACAGTGGTCTTGACACTCACTAGCCCTCCGCCTCCCACGCTACTCTTGGTATACAGTCTCAAGGTGCTGGATTTGGGGTGAAATCCTCCATGCATTGTGGGGAGATATATATATATATATATATATATATATATATATATATATATATATATATATATATATATATATATACACTATATTGCCAAAAGTATTTGCTCACCCATCCAAATTATTGGAATCAGGTGTTCCAATCACTTCCATGGCCACAGGTGTATAAATTCAAGCACCTAGGCATGCAGACTGTTTTTACAAACATTTGTGAAAGAATGGGTCGCTCTCAGGAGCTCAGTGAATTCCAGCGTGGAACTGTGATAGGATGCCACCTGTGCAACAAATCCAGTCGTGAAATTTCCTCGCTCCTAAATATTCCACAGTCAACTGTCAGCTGTATTATAAGAAAATGGAAGTGTTTGGGAACGACAGCAACTCAGCCACGAAGAGGTAGGCCACGTAAACTGACGGAGCGGGGTCAGCGGATGCTGACGCGCATAGTGCGAAGAGGTCGCCAACTTTCTGCAGAGTCAATCACTACAGACCTCCAAACTTCATGTGGCCTTCAGATTAGCTCAAGAACAGTGCGCAGAGAGCTTCATGGAATGGGTTTCCATGGTCGAGCAGCTGCATCCAAGCCATACATCACCAAGTGCAATGCAAAGCGTCGGATGCGGTGGTGTAAAGCACGCCGCCACTGGACTCTAGAGCAGTGGAGACGCGTTCTCTGGAGTGACGAATCGCGCTTCTCCATCTGGCAATCTGATGGACGGGTCTGGGTTTGGCGGTTGCCAGGAGAACGGTACTTGTCTGACTGCATTGTGCCAAGTGTAAAGTTTGGTGGAGGGGGGATTATGGTGTGAGGTTGTTTTTCAGGAGCTGGGCTTGGCCCCTTAGTTCCAGTGAAAGGAACTCTGAATGCTTCAGCATACCAAGACATTTTGGACAATTCCATGCTCCCAACTTTGTGGGAACAGTTTGGAGCTGGCCCCTTCCTCTTCCAACATGACTGTGCACCAGTGCACAAAGCAAGGTCCATAAAGACATGGATGACAGAGTCTGGTGTGGATGAACTTGACTGGCCTGCACAGAGTCCTGACCTCAACCCGATAGAACACCTTTGGGATGAATTAGAGCGGAGACTGAGAGCCAGGCCTTCTCGTCCAACATCAGTGTGCGACCTCACAAATGCGCTTCTGGAAGAATGGTCAAAAATTCCCATAAACACACTCCTAAACCTTGTGGACAGCCTTCCCAGAAGAGTTGAAGCTGTTCTAGCTGCAAAGGGTGGACCGACGTCATATTGAACCCTATGGATTAGGAACGGGATGTCACTTAAGCTCATATGTGAGTCAAGGCAGGTGAGCAAATACTTTTGGCAATATAGTGTATATGTATACATTATACATATATACATTAGCAATGTATAGAGTGTATATCGTTAAAGTTAAGACTAGTTTAAAGTTATCTTCATTAAAAAATAAAGACATTACAATGTGACCCCAAACCTTTGAACGGTAGTGTCTATATACACACTACCGTAGATAACTTTAAACTAGTCTTAACTTTAAAGAAATACACTCTATCCATTGCTAATGTGGTAAATGACTATTCTAGCTGCAAATGTCTGGTTTTTGGTGCAATATCTACACTAAAGGTGTATAGAGGCCCATTTCCAGCAACTATCACTCCAGTGTTCTAATGGAACAATGTGTTTGCTCATTGGCTCAGAAGGCTAATTGATGATTAGAAAACCCTTGTGCATCCTGTTCACACATCTGAAAACAGTTTAGCTCGTTACAGAAGCTACAAAACTGACCTTCCTTTGAGCAGATTGATTTTCTGGATCATCACATTTGTGGGGTCAATTAAACACTCAAAATGGCCAAAAGAGAACTTTCATCTGAAACTCGACAGTCTATTCTTGTTCTTAGAAATGAAGGCTATTCCATGTGAGAAATTGCTAAGAAATTGAAGATATCCTACAACGGTGTGTACTACTCCCTTCAGAGGACAGCACAAACAGGCTCTAACCAGAGTAGAAAAAGAAGTGGGAGGCCGCGTTGCACAACTGAGCAAGAAGATAAGTACATTAGAATCTCTAGTTTCAGAAACAGACGCCTCACAGGTCCCCAGCTGGCATCTTCATTAAATAGTACCCGCAAAACACCAGTGTCAACATCTAAAGTGAAGAGGCAGCTGCTGGATTCTGCGCTTTAGGGCAGAGTGGCAAAGAAAACGCCATATCTGAGACTGGCTAATAAAAGAAAAAGATTAAGATGGGCAAAAGAACACAGACATTGGACAGAGGAAGACTGGAAAAAAGTGTTGTGAATAGATGAATCCAAGTTTGAAGTGTTTGGATCACAAAGAAGCACGTTTGTGAGACACAGAACAAATGAAAAGATGCTGGAAGAATGCCTGACGCCATCTGTTAAGCATGGTGGAGGTAATGTGATGGTCTGGGGTTGCTTTGGTGCTGGCAAGGTGGGAGATTTGTACAGGGTAAAAGGGATTCTGAATAAGGAAGGCTATCACTTCATTTTTCAACGCCATGCCATACCCAGTGGACAGTGCTTGATTGGAACCAATTTCATCCAACAACAGGACTATGACTCTAAACACACCTCCAAATTGTGCAAGAACTATTTAGAGCAGAAGCAGGCAGCTGGTATTCTATGGGTAATGGAGTGGCCAGCGCAGTCACCAGATCTGAACCCCATTGATCTGTTGTGGGAGCAATTTGACCGTATGGTACGCAAGAAGTGCCAATCCAACCAATCCAACTTGTGGGAGCTGCTTCTGGAAGCGTGGGGTGCAATTTCTCCAGATTACCTCAACAAATTAACAGCTAGAATGCCAAAGGTCTGCATTGCTGGAATTGCTGCAAATGGAGGATTCTTTGACGAAAGCAAAGTTTGATGTAAAAAAAAAAAAATCTTATTCAAATACAAATCATTATTTCTAACCTTATCAGTGTCTTGACTCTATTTTCTATTCATTTCACAATTAGCACCTAAATACATCACAGACTTGCTATCAGTGTATCAACCCTCCAGACCACTCAGGTCTTCTGGCTCCAGCCTGCTCTGCATACCTAGAACCAGAACTAAACATGGAGAAGCAGCATTTAGTTCCTATGCTCCACTTATCTGGAACAAACTTCCAGAAAACTGTAAAAGTGCGGAAAACCTGAGTTCCTTTAAATCAAGACTAAAAACACATTTGTTTAGGATTGCCTTCCACTGTTCTAGTTAAACAGTTCAACTGAAACATATTTTCTTTAATCGAACTGTTTTTAATATTCTTTTTTTGTTTCTGCGTTTTTTATTTTATTTTATTTTTATTTATTTATTAATTTATTTTTTTTCCTACTTGCTTTGATTCCGTTTTATCTTCCCGTATTTTAATCATGTAAAGCACTTTGCATTGTCTTATAGTCATATATATATATACACTATATTGCCAAAAGTATTTGCTCACCTGCCTTGACTCACATATGAGCTTAAGTGACATCCCGTTCCTAATCCATAGGGTTCAATATGACGTCGGTCCACCCTTTGCAGCTAGAACAGCTTCAACTCTTCTGGGAAGGCTGTCCACAAGGTTTAGGAGTGTGTTTATGGGAATTTTTGACCATTCTTCCAGAAGCGCATTTGTGAGGTCGCACACTGATGTTGGACGAGAAGGCCTGGCTCTCAGTCTCCGCTCTAATTCATCCCAAAGGTGTTCTATCGGGTTGAGGTCAGGACTCTGTGCAGGCCAGTCAAGTTCATCCACACCAGACTCTGTCATCCATGTCTTTATGGACCTTGCTTTGTGCACTGGTGCACAGTCATGTTGGAAGAGGAAGGGGCCAGCTCCAAACTGTTCCCACAAAGTTGGGAGCATGGAATTGTCCAAAATGTCTTGGTATGCTGAAGCATTCAGAGTTCCTTTCACTGGAACTAAGGGGCCAAGCCCAGCTCCTGAAAAACAACCTCACACCATAATCCCCCCTCCACCAAACTTTACACTTGGCACAATGCAGTCAGACAAGTACCGTTCTCCTGGCAACCGCCAAACCCAGACCCGTCCATCAGATTGCCAGATGGAGAAGCGCGATTCGTCACTCCAGAGAACGCGTCTCCACTGCTCTAGAGTCCAGTGGCGGCGTGCTTTACACCACCGCATCCGACGCTTTGCATTGCACTTGGTGATGTATGGCTTGGATGCAGCTGCTCGACCATGGAAACCCATTCCATGAAGCTCTCTGCGCACTGTTCTTGAGCTAATCTGAAGGCCACATGAAGTTTGGAGGTCTGTAGTGATTGACTCTGCAGAAAGTTGGCGACCTCTTCGCACTATGCGCGTCAGCATCCGCTGACCCCGCTCCGTCAGTTTACGTGGCCTACCACTTCGTGGCTGAGTTGCTGTCGTTCCCAAACACTTCCATTTTCTTATAATACAGCTGACAGTTGACTGTGGAATATTTAGGAGCGAGGAAATTTCACGACTGGATTTGTTGCACAGGTGGCATCCTATCACAGTTCCACGCTGGAATTCACTGAGCTCCTGAGAGCGACCCATTCTTTCACAAATGTTTGTAAAAACAGTCTGCATGCCTAGGTGCTTGAATTTATACACCTGTGGCCATGGAAGTGATTGGAACACCTGATTCCAATAATTTGGATGGGTGAGCAAATACTTTTGGCAATATAGTGTATATATATATGTGTGTGTGTGGGTGTGTGTATGTATGTATAGGGTGTTATTAAAAGTGTTATTTAAGGAGTAGACATCATGCGTAAATGTTTGACCAGAATCTAAAATATTGTGAGAATTTCATACAAAGCATTGTACTGCAAAATTGTTTGATGTACTAAATAAGTGCCGCATGTTTCCTGTTTTTTATGAAAAGGGTTCGATTACTACTTAGGTATTCCTTACAGTAATGACATGGGCTGCACTGACAAACCAGGATACGATCGACCCCCGTGTTTACCTTGTGTTTCATCAGAACCTCAAGTAATCAGGTATGGTCCTTTTTTCTACTTAGCGTCAATATGTGTATTTCATTCTTATGTTAAGTAGAAGCATTAGTCATTTTACAGCGTATTGGTTTAAATGCACACTAATATTAAAAGGTTTTTGTGTTTTGTTTAGTTTTTGTGAAGAAAAAAAACATTGTAACCATAGAGATTTGGGACACGTCATCTTTAATCTGTTAACTTCAATTTCCTATCATGTCACAGTGCTGAATTTGCAAACCCTCACAGTTCGCTGTGTTTTCATGTCCTAGACAGAGAAGGAGTGGGCATGGTGGCTGTTATTCCAAGGTGGCCCTTCCTCTGGTTGAAAACGGCTCTATTTTGGAGCAGCCGCTTGACCTTTGGGCGCTCACAGAGAAGTACAAATCTGCTGCACTCAGGATAATACGCAGTGCAAGGTACAACACAGCTGTGAACGGTTAACTCATAGATCAAGCTGTTAATCTCAGTTAGGCAAAATTTTGAATAATGGATCACATCCATTTTCTCTTTTTGTGTGGGACATTGTTATTGACCAAAACAGATAAACTCTAAACAAAACTGATTAAAATTGTTTTGCTTTATAGTTTATATATCCTCGAGGGAGGCCATATTTCCCCTTTGTTTTTTATTAGAGCACATCAATCATGTTTTTTCCCACAGTGGGCCAAGGTAGGTTCTGTAACTTTGAAAGAGAACTTAGGTTGTACTTTTCCAAAGGTGAAACATAATTCTTCTTGCAAGCTGTAAAGTAAGAACCCAAAGGAGCTGTATTTTTCCTAGATTTATTACATTAATCAGAGCATGAGCCTTTAGGGAAAACCAAGGCTTATGTTCTAACTGTATCCCGGATATAATTTTGTAAATCTTGTATAATCCCAGCCAAGCCAGATTAACTTTTTTACATTCAAATAATAAGAATAAGAAAAATGGGTTATATTCACTTCAATTCTCCTATGCAAAAATTATTTCTCATCAAATTATTTAACCTCAGTATAATGTAAAATGTTTTTCTATTTGTTGGTGTGAAAATGTTTTTACCAACCATTTTGTGGAAATACAGTTAGTTCACATGATCCAATAGCATGTCTTGTATGTGTTTCTCTTATTCATAAAGCATGCATCTGCTGAGACCAGGGCTGTTTTATGTATACTTTGAGTGAAGAAAGTTTCTTCATGAGACCAAAGGAACTTCAGACAGTTTTTGACAAACAACAATTTAAGACAATAAATGAATCAACAAAATTCACACAAAAAGACCAGTTAACACCAAACCAAACAACAAATTTCAAACTAATTAAATTCAACTGAATATAAATAAAAAACTAAACCCTCCACCAATTAAACCTGTTGGTATATACATACAGAGAAGGGACATTCATCAATAGATATTGTCTGCAAAGGGGTATGAGGAAGTAAAACTTATTTTTCATACCGCCCCTCCCTCTAATTGAATTTAAATTAGCTTAAAGTCAAGTAACCTTGTTAAACTTGCTTTTTTTCTAATATTTTTTTTACATATATATGTATATTTATACATCTGCATACATACATGTAAACAAACATTTACATACCTACACAAACACATCAGGCCAAAATCCACATTTAAACCCTTGTACATCGGCACTCTAGTACATCAGTACTGCAATCCCCCGCCCCCCCAAAACCTCCAGTCACCAGTTCCACAGCCCAACACAACAGTCCCTCCACCCGCTCCCCCCACCGGTCCCAACTTGCAACCCATATCGACATTCACCTCCCCTAAAAAGATATCAGATGTTAACGGACTGCAGATGTATGAATATGGAGTGAATATTTAGGTCCTCTGACTTCAGGACAACAGCGCAATATATTCTGAGCCAGATTGCTGAGGCCAGATGTTTAACTTTAGGCCATATAACTTAGATTTAAGCTCAAATTGAAAATCTTTTCAGAATTATTAAATTTCAAGGCTCGATTTTATACAGCAGATTGTAACCCCCAGCTCCTGTTTCTTCACCTTTCATGGGGTCAACAATAAGAGCTCTTGGTATGAAAGGAAGTTTGGACTGCGGTGTTGAGTGTGGACAGCTTTTAGCCTTCTTGACGTCATTACATGGTAGAAAAGCTCATGGATGAGGCTAGTCAAAATAAAACAAAGTTGCATCCCTTTGCAAATGTCACAGTAACACACTGTACCTGTGAAGCAATAAAGCATTTTTGTTCATTTCTGTATGCTGGGCTTTTCTCATACTTCATGTCGTGCAAAAGATTGTGGGATCACTAAAAGCTCCATAGGGCCAGATGGGAACATTGTGAGGGACCCATGCTGAAGGAACTATGATAGGAAGCATTTAGGCTTCTTTTCCTACCGCTTTTCTTACTGGTGGCACTTTTCATGGCCACCACTGACTCATATAGACTTTTGCTAAAGAAAACTCTTTATAATATTAACTTTTTCTGAAAAAGTTTGAGAAATGAAAACAACAAATTTGCTGGACATCACTTAATTGTTTCTTAAACAGTTTAAATGTAAAGAAGACATGGGCAGGATTCTCATATGTTGATAAAAATTGAGTACAACTAACACAGCTGTCTTGTATGCATACACAATTTAAAAATAATTAACATGATCCAGATTAACTTATTTAAAGTGCCAACTGTGTCATATAAAACATGTATAATATTTTCAGTTTGGTGTACTGTTATGAAAAGCTTCTGAGAACCTGATAATTAGACAGAAGAGGTATTAGGCTTAAAATGTTTATTTTGAGGTTTGTGATAGTGAAACAATAGGTGAGCAGAATGATAGAAGGTTGGAAAAGGCAGATCATGATTGAACCAGTTACAGGCTGAACAGGCTGATAGTAGGTTTAATAAGGTGGATGATAGCTGAACAGACGGATGGCCAGCTTTTAGCAAAAGGATGATTAAATTTTGTTTATATATTTTTAAAGTTATTTATTTAATGCCAATCCACATCGAATACAATCTCAAGGCACTTGCCAGAAACTATTCAGATCATACATTTAAATTGAAAATAAGTTTCTATCTACGGAAAACCAACAGATAGCAACAAGTCATTGACTTCCAGGACACGGATGAGTAGTGGCAACAGAAGATTTTCCCGTTCATTTTATTGTTGACTCTACAGCAATCCCTCACACCAAGCATGCATGTGTTACAGGTCCAAGGATTGGTACCATAGCAAAAAGAAAAAAGATTACTCTGTAAAACAGAGGTAAGTGTTAGCAGCAAGCAAGACACTGTCTGCTTCGTTTGTCTTCCAGATTGCGTCTGAAAAGGGCCCCTGACAAAACAACCTGGAACTCAGCCGCGTCTGTTTTAAAAAATGATTAAACAACATCTCTTAAGTTGTTGGACCATTCAAATTACCATTAAGTAAAAAAAAAAAGAAAATGCATATAAAAAAGCACAATTATGTAGATGACGACAAAAAAAATGGCTCCCGACACTTGCTATTTGTAACTTTATCATCCATTAGGAGTAGGCAGGAAAATGGGTGCTGTTTAGAAAGAACAGAAGTATGGCAGTGGGTACTGGCAGTGATAAACCATGGGTTGGGTCTCTACTGCGTTCACATTGATAATAAGTTGGTTGGCCAGGTGAGGTGTACTGTAAGTAAGCATCTGATCGGGGCCTCTGTCTCTTTTAGATCTCCTCAGTACAGGTCAGGTGTTGAGTTCCTCTACTTTCCTGTCTGTATTGTCCGCCTGAAACACCACTGCCTCATAAGTCTGAGCTTCTTCATATTCTGTTACATTTTCATTTTATTCTTCCCCTCTCAGTTGAAAGTTTTATTGGAGTTTTGTCTCTACAGGATATCCCCATTGGTTCAAAATGGGTTTCTGTTTCACAGGCAATTCATTGCTGAAGTGGTGCCAAATAAGTTCATGGGGTTTCTCTTGGGATAATCAGATAATCTATTCTCCCACTCTGCAGAAGTTGTTAATTCAATCTCTAACGTTATGCTCACTCTGCTTTTTCTCAGATGAAGGGGCTCTCCCTGCCCCTGTTTGGCTGTGTGAGAATTATCAGCTGTGCTGCTGCCATCAACACCTTTGTTTATAGATGTTTGAGCTCAGCCTAATTTTCAGTGTAGTCCTGTTTCTCTGACTGTGACTAACTAGATGTGGTCTTTTCGTCCACTGATGTGGGTGCCGGCTGGGAGCTCGTGTGACTGGCTTTGTCTTTCCTGAACGGAGCCGCCTGTGGAGCTGGTTGACAAGAACCTTTAGTATCTCTGCTTATATCTGTATCTCTGCTTCTGTCTCCTTGAACCCCAGTCGGCCTCAGCAGATGGCCGCTCACGCTGAGCCTGGTTCTGCTGGAGGTTTCTTCCTGTTAAAAGGGTGTTTTTCCTCTCTACTATCGCTACAAGCATGGTTGGTGTCAGAGATTGCCTTGGAGTCAATGATTTGATGCAATCAACTGGTTTTCCTTAAATAGAAAACTTTGAATAAATTTGACTTTATGATCCCGTTGAATTGTATCTGTAAAAGGCCTTCAGATGACGTGTTGTGAATTTGCGCTATATACAGTAAGTAATCTGAATTTAACTGATTTGAATTGAATACGAAGCCAATACAGCAGTTTTCTATCCTGCTCCACCGAGTCACTTTCAGAATAATCTTGTGTCTGTTCAGTTGTATTTGATGACTTTGTTGTTATCCAGTTTCCCCTTTGTGACTAGGCAGGGGAAATTTATTGTGACTCAACAGGTGAAGCAACAGTTTTCTAGTCCTTGGCTTAACCATGCGGTGCTGTAGGGCTTGTAGGATTCATCGGATCACATCAACATGCTCTTAAAACAATCTGGAGAAACAGATGACATCATCTAGATAAGAAATACAACACTCACCCCTAAGTGTGTCAAGCATTTCAGCCCAAAGGGTATTCGGCAGTCAATGCAAAGACCCATCCTTCTTTCTCACACAGATAATGGATGCAGCATATGGAGACTGGCATTTTGCTAAACACCCCTTCAGTAATGACTCTTGGATATACTTCTTTACTTCCTTGTACAGCGGACTGGGGATGGAAGCATAAGCCTTCTGAACAGGGAAATCATTGCTGACTCTGACTGACATCTGCAGAGATAGAATACACTCAATGTCACTGTTATTTGCTTGTCATAACAGTGACATTGGGTCACAGGTCAATGAATATTACAAAGAAATAAGATTAGATAAAGAATGCATTAGGATTCGGATTTGGCACTTGACTTTGTTCTTCGGTTATGAAAAAAAAAACCTCTTAGCACCTCTGGTTTGAGAAAAGACATTTTCAATTGCAATTGACCAAAATTTGTTAATGTAGGTCATCAGTTTTGAAAAAACCTTTTGAAATCTTTTCACAACAAATAAGATTGAAGTTTGAATATGATCCATTATGGTAGTAATAACCTGTAGTAGTAGTAGTGTAACCTGAGATGTCTATTCTTTATTAAGTATATTTTCTTAGATTTGATAATCAAACAGCTACATTTACCAACACATTACACAGTAGTTGAACGGAGTACATACTCTTGGTGTGTGTGTGCATGTTTGAAGTCTAGGAAGAAAAGGTCAATGAACCCTGCTGCTTACAGCTGTTAGTTAAAAGGCAACATGCCCCCACGCTATACCTGGAGGTCATGTGAACGAGTGCTGTAGTTTTAAGTTTTTGCTTTTTAGCACTCAACAGCATCTAAGATTACATTAGATTCCAGTTTGAGTAGTTGGGAGGGCTGCATTCTATCAAAGAAAAGAAAAAAACTTTGCAACATTTTGGAAGGAAACAAACCCCCTCACATATGGAGGACCAATCCTGCCAATCCTAAAATTACATATAGAAATAAATGAAGGACTTAATAATATAAAATTGCTTGAAAATGTAGCTAATAGTATGAATTTGTGTGCCATTAAATGTGACAAAAATAATAAGAATTGTCATGATTTTATTCAAAGATCTGACCCACATGCAGAAAACCAAACAGAGAGACCAGGGGAAGGTTTAACAGGTTTATTGAGAACTGGTAGAGATGGGACCAATGTGGCTCTGAACAGTGGTGAACCAGGACTGAAAAATGAAGGGGAAGTTCCATTGTGGTTAGTTCAGGCTCAGTGGGAAATTTGAGCTTCGATTTGCAAGGGGAATAAAGTCAACAGGACTCACTTTTCCAAAAAAGGTGTCTTTCTCCGAATCCAGTCGGTGTGGGTTGTTCCAGTAATTGAGTTGCTGGTTGGAGGGCGGACAGGGTTTAACCAGGTTGAAGTGTTTCCTTGAGGAACGGCGGAGCTGACTGTCACTTAGATTTCCAAGGGTACTTGAACGGTTTCTTGTGAAGATGAATCCCCAGCTCAGTTGGAAGCTCAAACGAACCTTCCAGGGAGAGAAAGTCCAAAAGAACCAGTTTGCAGAATGACCTTCTGAGAGGCAAAGACAAAAAACAACAAGTTTAAATTCAGGTGACAAAAACTCAGTTTGACTCAGCAAAACTCAGCTTGGCTAGAGTACCCAAACCTGGCAAACACTCTGGCGTCGAGGTAGTGGCAGTCAGCAGCTTAAGAGTCCTCCGGTAATGAGGCAACCATCCGCAGGTGTGTGAGGAGGCCAACGAGAACCAGGCGCCACCTGGTGGTTGAGGGAAAACTAACAAAAACACAACCCACTCAAACTGGATTCCTAACAAGAATAAAATATCACTTCAACAATTGATTAATTATTCATCTAAAACATCTTTTTTAACTTCCACTTTTATTTTTACTTTTCTTATTGCATTTACACTGATTTATTTTTAACCCACTTATTTTCCGTTATACATTTTCTTTGTGTTTGTGTATCTATTGCAAGTGGGTTTTTTTGTTCTTTATTTCCACTGCAACCTTTTTTATTGTTTCATATTTATTCCTGCCGACATTTTTAAAAGATTATTTTATTTTTGTTTCATACTGATTTACACCACAACATTTTTAAAGCATGTTTTTACTCCACCATATTTATTTTCATTTTATTTTAACATCCTTCTATTGCTCAAACAATGATTTATTTCTGCCTCTAACTTGCTCTTTTTAAGGAAAAAACAGGGCAGCCGAAAAATTCTTTGGATAACAAAGGATTTTTTGGCTGCCCTGTTTTTCTCCTTAACCCCTTTTTCTACTTCGTCTATTTCCACTTTGTCATTCCAAAGGCATCGCACAATCAACTGGTTCACTTTTTAATTTTTTTATATTTGGAAGCTGGAATTGTCTAATTTAAAAAAAAAATTCTGGACATTAACGAATGGAGAGCATTTATGAACATCAGTTTTAAGCTTTGTTATTGTGTGTGTGTGTATGTATGTGTGTAAAAGAGCTTTTTACCCTTATTTGGATCTTTCTTGTAAAATAAAGGTTAAATAAAAAATAGTACTAAAATAAAACTGTAACCTTGCCTACATACTAATTGTCATTTGTTTCCAGAGAGCGAGTACAGCCATATCTTCTTCTACTGGCATCAGCTCACATGCATGTCCCACTCGCGCCCACGGTGCCTGACTCTTCAGGTGACTTGGTGTATGCTGCCAGCCTGCAAGAACTCGACAGTCTGGTTGGGGCATTGAAGGCTGCTGCTGCTGAAAAGGATAAAGAAAATACTTTAATCTGGTTCACTGGTAAGACATTTGGATTCATATCTACCCTCAAGTGATTCATTTGTTGATAGACACATACCTGTGTCTGTGCTACAGGTGACAATGGCCCATGGGAACAAAAATGCCAGTTTGCAGGAAGCGCCGGGCCTTTCATTGGAAAGTGGCAGACAAATAGAGGTAATAAAACTTAAAGAAAGATTAATGGTCAGCTGTATCCATAAAGTTGGAGCTGATATATATGTAATTGCTTGACTCCTTATGTGGTCTTCTATTTGCATGTTAGGTGGGGGTTCAGCTAAGACGACCACCTGGGAGGGCGGTCACAGGGTGCCCGCTGTGGTATATTGGCCAGGCAGGATCCCTGCAAACACCAGCAGCTCAGCTCTACTCAGGCAAGCTCAGTTCTACTCAGGCAAGCACACTTTCACAAAACTCACCAAGTCTTCAACAGTCACATTAATTTTTCACCTTTAGGATAACACACCATAACCAGGCATGCCCTACAAAATCTAAAAGAATGCTACATAACAAATGTATAAAAAACTACTCTCTCAACCACTGCTCGTACTACTTCTTCATCTCAAGCTCGCTCCTCTACCAGAGATCTCGGAGATTAAGGATTCCTCGCAGTATCTTAGCTGTCCCTAGAACTACGTATTTCTCGACTCGGATGTCTGATGGTTCTCAAGGTATCTGCTGGAGCCACATCTCCAGAGTGGGAGTTAATGCCCCCAGTGCTACGATGATCACAGGCACTACAGTTGGCTTTACCTTCCAGGCTCTTTCCAGTACTTCCCTTGATACCTGGAGGAATATAAGACATCTCATATGTCCTATAAAGTAGACAGTCAGTGTTTGGTTGGGCCTCCTTTTACATTAATTATCACTTACTGTAATGTAACATGGAGGTGATTAGCTTATGGCTAATCATCTCTTTGCAACATGTCATATCAATTCATCTGTGCATCATTGCACATCTGTCAAAGTGCAATGAAGGCACAGCTCACAGCTTTCAGGTCATTCGCATTGTTGCCTCAGGTATCTTGTCTTTCTTCTGAATCTAAGGAGTTTAGGGCAGGCCAATATTGGTACTGATGACATCGTGTGCAGGCATCAGGCCCTGCTAGAAACAAAACCAGCATCTCCATAATACACCAAGCTTGGCTAGGTTGTTGCAAATGTTCTGAGTATACAGTGCCCCACACAAACACATGTTATATCCCGGTATACTTACAGGGACTTTGCATTGACTTTCATTCATTTTGCATTCATTTGTATGACATTAGCCAGACCCTTACTCTAACCCAGTGCTTCTCAATTATTTTCTGTTACGCCCCCCCCCCCAAGAAGAAACACAAGAAGAAGAAACTATTCAGTGACTATCCATCTCTTCATAACATTTTATGCTTATTAACATTAAAGAAAAGAAAAAAAAAGAAATATGGTCAAACTAACAAACTTTATCAAATCGTGTTTTAAGTCTGCAACAGAAAAGATTTTAAGAGCATCATTGCCTGAAATTAAAAATAAATAAATCCTTGTTGACTGTTGGCGATATTGAGCACATTTTCGCTGAAAAAACTCTAGCGGCTTATCGGCGTTGTTGGGAATGTAACGTATTTAAGTGATGCGCTAATTTATTTGGCTTCATGCTGTCCGCTGTGAGCATTTTTAGCCTCGCCAAACACACCAGTCTTTCCTCTTCTCCAACTGTAGTCACAGTGAAGCCAAGCGGTAAATACGCTTCGTCGTATTTCCTTGTCTTAGCTTTCGGGTGACTTTCTTTTGTCTTATTATCTTTGTCTCTCTCAGCTTTTCTTATCAGCCCTGTTAAAAACGTTTTCATGTTGGGGGTTGTTATGTTGAATAACGGAGGCTATAGACAGAATGCAGTCGCAGCTTTCTGTTGACTCAACACTGCTAACCAAGGCAAACCTGTTGTCTTGTAAGTCGTAAAATGTTGCACTGTCGCAAACGTGACAGAAGTAACAATGAGAGCGCCACTGTAGTGGATGCGCAACACTTTATACTAGTACAGCCAAAAAAAAAGCCTGTTCCCCAGGGTCACACGCACCCCCCCCCCCAGGTAAAGGGAGTGCGCCCCACTATTTGAGAAGCACTGCTCTAACCTAACTTTAACTCAATTCACACCTTATTACTAAACTTAACCGCCAACTCAAAAAGATTTTTTTTTCTGATAGGACCAGTTAACTAGGTCTTCACAAAGTAGAATATTCTTGGATAATTGAATTTAAGAAATACAGGACTGCACATCAAACACACACACGCATTCTCAACCTGCAACACGAAATGAGAACCCTTTGTTGATTCCCATTGACTTTTGCTAACCTTTGATCATTTTCAAAGTGTTATATGACCTAACAATAACCAAGACCAAACCATTATCAGCACACACCTAACCCTAACCTAAACTAATTTTAAAACTTAATTTTATCAAAATAGGAACTGAGGACCAACAAAATATTCTTGTTTGCTACAAATGGTCCTTAAACTGATCATTAAAGTATGGTTCTGTCTGTGTTTAAGAATAAATAAACTGAATTTTGTTCTTATTCTTTAATACATGTTTCTTGCACTTTTCCCATAATGCAGTGGTATGGACATCTTTCCAACTGTTCTGTCCATGGCAGGGGTAGTGCCCCCTTCAGACAGGCATTATGATGGCATTGATGCAACAAATATCTTCCTTCACAAGGAAAACTCTGGTCATGAGGTACAAACAAAACCCTAATGACTGTTTTTTTCCCCCTACATTTAAATGTGTTGTGAAATGGGACTGTACTTTCTTCTCGTGTTGTAGTTTCTCTTCCACCCTAGTAGTGGTGCTGCTGGAAAGTTTGGAGACTTGCAAACAGTTCGAGTTGGAAAACATAAAGCCTTCTACATCACAGGTACTTGTCAATTTCAGATCGAGTCAAGTGTGCCATGATGCTTGTTTTGCCACTATGGCAAAGTGTATACATAATGTCATCATTGTGACATTAAACTGCTGCAGCTCTGTACTAAGTTGTGTTTTAGAATAACAAGACATGCATGCCTTTCTGGTTAAGACGATTTATTTTATAGCCACCATTTAGCTTCAGTACTCACATGGACATTTAGCACATTTCCCTCTATTTTTACAGCCCCACAGAAAGCTGAAATATGGTCTTTATCAGTATGAATGTCAATAATGAAGCTGTTTTATTGGTGCATCTGAGCTGTCCTTTGTTTCAGAGCAGAAGTTTCATGTATTTATATTTGAGGACTGATGTCATCTTGAGGACTGATTTCATCTTCTCCATGTCAGTAGTATATTTTGGCAGTTCTTGGTCCTAAACCTTATATCTACCTTTCCCCACCAAGAGGAGAACCTTTCCTCATCAGGACCAATCCTTGGTCCCCACAATTACCTATAAGTCCCCAAAATATGGCATGTTCCTTGAAAATATCCCCACAAGGTAATGAAAACATGGCCATACACACACAATTGGGGGAGGGGTGGGCGTGGAAATTGTATTGTAATCCAAAGGGGGGCCCAGAAAATCTTTGGGAACCACTGGGTTAGACTAAGTTAATACCCAGTAGTACTACAATTTGTTCTTTTTTTAATGAGCTTTTATATCCAGCAAAACCAGGATCTAGTCAAACATTAGCCTACAAAATAGGGCTTTACAAATGTCAGCATAGAGCACACCTGCTTACCGGTGTGCAGCTGAAAGATGTGCAGGTTACAGTTACAGTTTTATTGTCATCACCATCCGATCCTCCCTCATTGAATGTCCTGTATTCTATGATTTTCCTTTTTTTAATTTCTAACTGGCACATTTAAATTTTTGCTTGTGTGTCTCTAACCCTGTACTGTCAATGTAATTCTTAATGTGGCATAGCAGAGCCACAAACTGGGTCACAGATAGACAGAAGTACAGCTAAAAGCTACTGTCATCCAGACATACCCTCTGGGGGAGTCGGGGGTATTCCCCATATTGGTTCCATCTCTTGGTATCTGGTTAAACAGAAACGCCAAAAGCTTTGTTCAGCTTTCAAAAGTAAAAAACATTGCCAGTCACTTTTTAAATTCATGTCCACCATGATGAGGTGAAACGAAAGACAAGCAGAATCCATGATTTGCTCAGCTTTTCGCCCACTGAGCAAATTCGCCTGCCGTGTAAAATTTCAAGGCGATCCATAGCAGATGAAACTGGCGGAAGTTTTGCAGGTTTCATGTACTATAAATTAGTGCAGAGTAATTAGGAAACTCAAGGAGAAATTGTGAATTAACAGTGAACATAATTGGATAATACCTACAAGCAAGTCCAGTGGGTTTTAAAGTCGGTGCATAGCAATTGCATTGCCTTGTTGATTCTCAGCTATTTTAAGCATCCTTAAGAGTTTTTCTTTATCTGAGGGCAACATTTCGGGTTTGAAATGTCTATTTCTAAAATAAACCTGATCAGAACCAGGATATAAGAAACCAATTTCAATCCCAAACACACACTAACAGACACATTTCAAGTCAAGAATCAACACAGGTTGCATGTTCATGCTCTTTTTGTTGTGAGCTAAGTGCTAACTGCACTACAGCCATCTGTCTCTACAACACACCAATGGATATCTGACTATATATACATGGTGAGGTATTGCATATTTAACATTTTCTGTATAGAATGTTGTTTATGTGTGAATTCATGAAAATCAACAAATGTTGCCCCCCAACTTTGGGGTTTTGAAACTCCAGTCCAGTAGTTTTAGATTGGAAAGGTTATAAAAACAGGAAAGTTCAAAATTATACAACTTTCATGCCTGTGATTCAAGTATTTAAAGGTATTGCTGGAATAACATAATACTAGGATTTGAAAATTAAAATGTTTTCTTTTCTTCCAACAGGGGGAGCAGAAGCTTGCACCGGTGGAACCGGACCGGAGCAGCTCCATGACCCGCCTCTGATATTTGACTTGGAGCATGATGAGACAGAGGAAACACCCTTGCAGTTTGATACACCTGAGTACAAAGCTATTGCACAGAGGGTTGCACTCAAGAGAGAGGAACTCTTATGGGATATTGCCACCGACAGTTCAGTTTCCACCGCAGACTACGATCAAGATGAGTTAGCAGCACCATGCTGTGATCACAGACAGGCTGTCTGTCGATGTCCCACTTTGTGCTGAGGCTAGAAGGAAACATGAAAAAATAGCAAAGCGATGCCATGAAGTACGCAAACCTAAATGGGGATGGCTATCTTATCTGCACATATACAGTAGCTGGTGCTTTGAAAGTGTTGATTAAACGGTTTAATGTTTAGATTCAGCGGATGTGCAAACGGATGAACTTTGCTCGTTTAATCAAATAGTCGCTGTCTAATTTTCTTTCAGATTGAGTACTTTGACAGATGATTACTATTTCAGATGTCATCAGACATGGTAGTCTTTAATCATTTTTACTGAACTGTCAACAAAGTGTAGTTGATGCAAGGTGGAGAGGTTTTTTTCAGGCCTGTTGCAGGACTTACTTTGTAAAACCATTCTGCTGAAGCGTGGTTGAAGAGCCATGATTGACTTTCATTTGTTAATTTTCTTAGAATTTAAATTTGTCTTTATTTTTGTAAGAGTCACGTTTTTTTCAGTTACCGATGTGTTTCTTTCTTTTATCTAATTAGGGGTAACAACTGTTTTGTCTACATGTGTAACTGTTACATAAAATAAATAGATGTAACAGTTTTAATTTCTTTGTTTAATATTTGCTATAGATGTGAAATATACCATTAAATTGTAAAATGTGCAATTATATGTTTTGTAATGTCTAATAATTGTTTAATAATAAAAAAAAAAAAAAGGTTAATGAATAGTTAAATGTAGTTTTCAATGCAATTCATTTATATTGTGCCAATTTTAAGCACATTTCCTCTAAAGGCACTTTACAGAGACAACTATATCTGCTCATACAGTCAGATTGGTAAAAACATTGTCAACCAGAGGAAAACCAGCGGATTGCATCGAGTCACTGACTTGCAGGACACGGTCCTACAGATGAGAAAGTAGTCACAGTAGATATTTTGCTTGTTGCTGACCCTCTCACATCGAGCATGCATGCAGCAACAGTAACAGTAGGGAAAATCTCCCTTTAACATGGAAAAACCTCCAGCAGAACATCTCTGTGTGAGTGGCCTTCTGCCAAGGTGGACCCGGAGTTCAAGGAGAAACATAGAAGACATAGATCCATAAACACTTTCTGTTAGATAAGGTAACTGTAAACTAGGTCTATATAGCCCTCTGTCTAGGAAATAAACATTTAAACAGATTAGCATGGAGCCAGCTTTCATGTTAAAAGGATGAAAAAAGCATATGGAGTTAATCACACTAAAAGCAGAGCCCGTAGACAGGTCTAGGAGAAAGAGAACTGAACACTAAAAGGCCAACTTTATCATCTACAATCGAAGGTGTTGATGACAGCAGCCCAACTGATGAAGCAGGAACAGATCAGATGTAGCTACTATAATGAGAAAAGCAGAGAGACAAAGTTAGGGGTTGAAGTAACAAATACTGCAGAATAGGTGAATAGAGATAAAATGAGGCTGCAAAGTGGCACAGCTTATAGCACGGTTGCCTCGAGGAAGAAGGTCCCGGGTTCCATTCATGTCCCACAGTCTTCTTGCATGGAGTTTGTATGTTCTCCCAGTGCCTTTGTGGTTTCTCTCTGGGTTCTCCGGCTTCCTCCCATAGTCCACAAAATGACTGTTAGACTCTTAGTTGACCTGCAATTGACTGGTGACCTGCCCAGGGTACACCCCCACCTTTTGCCCATAAACTGCTGCAGATAGTCACCAGCCCCCCTGCAACCCTGATGGTTTAAATGGGAGAAGATGGGCGGATAGAGGAGGAAGCAGAATGTTGTAAAGTGGTCCTTAGGTCCTCTAGCAGTCTAAGCCTATAGCAGCGGGACTCTAGAGATAGCTCAGCAAAACCTGAGCAATTCGAAACTATAATCTTTGTGAAAAGTAAAGTTTTAAGCCTAGTCTTAAAAATAGAGTGTCTTCACAGGACTAAAACTAGAAAAAAAAGGTTCTGAATTGTCTGTATTAAAAAGCATAAAGTCTAAATTCATCCACTTTATTTAAGTCTTCAGCCATGCCTGTAGTCTATGTAATGAGTTAGCTTAATCAGGATTTAGGAATAAATATAGCTGATTATCAGAAAATGAATCCTATGCTGTCTAATAATTCTAATTGGGAGCAAATTTATATGGAAGAGAATTGGCCCTAGCACTGATCTTTCCGCGGCTGTGGATAAATCGTCCTCAAAGAGGTTTTATCACTGAAATGGAGAAACTGAAATCAGTCAGATAAATAAGATGAAACCAGCCATGTGCTGTTCTCTTTATTCTAACAGAATGTTCAAATGCCACCAGTTTTATATTAGTGCTTTGATGAGCTTTAAAACATGATTGTAATTCTTCAGAAATGGTGTAAATGCTCACTCACTTGTTGCACAACTCTCAAAGAATTTTAGGTAAGAAAGTAAGATTAAATTTAGAATCAAGAGAAGGTTTGCATGTGACTGCAGTGCATACAGTCGCAGCTATTCAAAATGGCCCTTCCCAGTCAAACACCAGCCGAATGGCAGCCCACTTCCCTGCGACTCCCAGCAGAATCTTCCAGCCACTGGAGAGACGCCCTCCTTCTCCTGGGTGTGCATAGTTTTTTACTTTGACTCCAACCTTTCACAAAATTACAGGGTCTAACTTCAAAGTGCTTCCTGTAGGCATGTAGAGCATTTTTTTCTTTTCTGTTTCCTAGAATTATGCTACAAAGTATGCAGCTCTTATTTAAACCAGGCTCATAATAGGAGTCAGGCTCCTATTACTTAATTCCTTCATTTTTTTTCTTTTTCTTTTTTTTTAACAGTGTCCTGTCTAGCAATGTGGCAATAGGAATAATTGTCTTGATGCCAAAAAGAGCCCAACAGATTTTACTGTCACGAGAGGAGCAGTACGGCTATCGGCATGGTGTTTCGCCTGATTTATGCATATAAATAGCTTTATTATAATTCATTAAGGGACTATTACAGATTATATGGACACTGCAATTTAAGTAGAACAGGAAAGGAAAAACTGAAAAAGGGTAGAAAAGATGAAAGAAAGAGGAGATAAAAGGGAATTTTTTTTAATTTATTATGCTTTACATTTTTCTTGTTTTGAGGGACTTTATTTTGAAACTACGTGTTAGTTAGTGGCTACCGCGACATACAGAGAAGAAGAGACCGAAATACAGAAGAAGCAACTAAGATTGACATGTAGTAAAAGAAAGATAGTTAAAAAAATAATAAGCTTTATTTGAATGACCTGCACCCTCCGAAGTGGCACAATGTTAGTGCTTATGTGATAAAACATATTTAATGTGTGTTAATGTGTTTTAAGGTGATTTTCAGCGGGTGAGGAACTTTTTTCTGTATGTGTTAAGTCTCCATAGCTTATGTATAAGGTGCTAATATTACGTAGTATTGGCTAGTAACATAATACCTTTTTTTCTCCTGTGCTCTGCCTAGCCGTTATGGTGGTGGATTTAAAGCTACAGTGTGTAATAATTACAGGGATATACAGTCAGAAATGTAATATATTATACATAACTATGTTATTTATCATCATCTAAGAGCTCAGCCTCTTAACCTTAATATGTGCGTTGCCTTAGAATTCGTTATTTATAATTACATAGGAGCGGGTCTCGCAGTCATGGAGGCAGACATCTTTGCGCTACGGCAGCGCAGAGCCAACAAACTAGCGATTGCGAGATCGCCCATTACGCTCGAAAGTAACTACGGCAAGTTGAGAGAGATGAACTGAGACGGTACTGAACAATAGATGGCAGTATACCATACACAGACTAATGAAATACTATCTGTAAAATTATCTATGTAAACAAACCTCATCACTTGAGAAGGTAGGTGATGCGGACGTCGTGGAAGACATTTTGTGAGAAGCGGTGGGGGGGAGATGTTCATATTGCTGCGGTCTGCAGTCTGACCGCTAGATGTCGCTGAAAATTACACACTGTAAAGGATTGTTGTTGGCAACGCTAAGATTCCAATAAACAAGAAAACCATCAGTCAAGTGTTGACCATCTTTCAGGGGAGATGCTACATATGCTAACATAATCCTCTTGTTGCAGCCAAGTTTCTGTGAGACAATATAAATCAATCTGATTATCACGAATCAAGTCATTGACAAAAAACAAAAACATTTGAAGAGAGATCTTATGTGAAATACACCACACTTGATTAACTTTTCTCTCAATTGCAGGCATTTTGGATTTAATTACATTGTAGGGATTTCCCCCTTTAGGTTTTTTTTTTTTTCTTATTTATTCTATTTTGGCCATAACCAATACACTGTCTGGATGGGGTAATGGAAGGGCAAAGCTGCAGAGAGGTGTGTTAAACTAAGACTCTGCATCCTGGGCTGTCAGTTTTTTTTGAAGGACTAATACATTTGGTCAGATTCCTAGAAAGAAGAGCTGCACCATCCAAATTGGGATGGATGCCATCTCTGAATCAGACCAAACTTTCCCCAAAAGGTTTTCCAAATATATCATCACTGGTCAGATAAGGTAGGTGGCCATATAAAATTAAGGAGAACCATGTTATTTTAGCAAACTTGTATACCAAAGCAAGAGTAGTTTTAGTGACCTCTGATCAGTATTTAGCTTTATCCCATCCACAGGTAGGATTTGGTGTCACCCTTTTTTGGCCCTTGGCAAACATTTGATTACAGTCCCTGTTGTCTCTAATGTCACATTTCTGACTGTGGAGCAGCCAATTACCACAGTCGGCTTCTCAGCAGATGCCTTACTGAGTGGGAAAAGTTTCAGTTACAAATGGGTTGGTGGTGACTGGTTGGCAAGGATCTAGGATACGTTTATAGGTACCATCACCCAACCAGTTTCCTGTTGTTCAAGAACAAACTTGATTATCTTTTTGTATAAAAATAAATGCTTTTTATGAATAAATAAATAAATATAGAGTGAAGTCAAATATGTGTCTTTATGGTGTGCCGTGCGGTTACATTGTTATTTTTTAAATCTTTTTTAAATCTTTCTGGAACCACTGCTCTATAGATGACATACATATCAGAGGTCAAATGTTCAGCATAAACAGACAAAGCCAGGTTCACAGGTTCAGTCACTTTCAGCTTTAATGGGTCACTGGGTAAAATGTCCAGAACTGAACAGCTCAGAGAGTCTCCTAACAACGCCATCTTTTGGCAAGTCACGTTATTACCTGGTTACCTAGTACACTTGTACTATATAGAAATTTAATATATACATGCTATACAGTAAAAAGTCTTAACACACATTAGGTATGGTAAGTCTACGTGGTGATGTGTAACAAAGCTTTTCCAAAAGAATATATTTAACACATCAATGTAAAAATAACTAAGAGTAACAGTTCAAACATCACGTTTTTATTAAAAAAGGTTTTAATTATATAATTAAAAGTCAAAGACCTGCAGCTTTACCAAGTGCAGCCTGTCAACAACTTCTCAACATTTCTGCTGACTGCATCCTCTCTAAAAGTCATCTCCAAAAATATCAGGAAGTTACACACCTGCCAAATTCTGTTGCTACCATGATTAGCAACATTTGCAAGTACAAATACATGATTCTTACAGAGACAAATAATACTCTAAGATTTAGGAGCTTTTGATCGTTTATCCTTATTTTAGGTGTAAATTCAAGAAATCCTAAATAAAATTACCTTGTTGCATGAATTGATCATTTCACCTGTGTTCACTTTTTTTCTTGATGAGATGAGAGAAATTATTAGCATTTAGCAGTTCAAATGCTACCAGTGGCGAGATTATCCAGGCCAATACTTAGAGAAAATAACCAAAAACATATGGATTCAAGTGAAACTAATGCTTTTATGACTTCAGTTTTTTAAAGCTGTAAAGTTCCTAGATATTTTTTGTTATGCTGGGGCTGCATAAAAGGCATTAATATCAAATGTAAACTTCTAGGTTCTATTCAGTCGAACACATGAAATATGGACCATATATAACAGAGTCATGAAGAAAGTGCAACACGTTTGTAGAACACATTGAAATGATGTAGGAAAAACTCAAAGGGGTTAATTAACCTCATGAAACACTGTCTGCTTTGTTCGACAGCATTTATCTACAACAATGTCCATTTTCTGCCAGGGTTTCTTACTGTGTCATATTACTACACATTTCTAACTATTGGTGTGGCATTATATTAGGTATTCTTTTCTTTTTAAATTGGTAGATGTATTCCTAATGAGAGATGTACCAACTATATTTTTTCCATATATCCTACAGAATGGGAGGAACACAGAACACAAGAACAAGCAGAGAGTAACACCCTTTAACACCGTATCCAAGGTAAACATTAATTTCTGTTGAAGGTCCAGGGATTCAACGTTTATCGTCATCAGTACTAGTTTTTATAATTCTTCCTGTTTGAAATCAGTACTGTCGATCTGATTATTATTATAAAGGGGGGGGGGTCTTGCAGAACTGCTGATTAATTACTCAGGTTGCCAACTGGAGGGAACTCGTTCTCATCATCCAGACAAACGGGGCCCTCTGCAAATTCATGCTCTGGGATGACTTCACCCCTCTGCGCTCCACCATCTTCAGAGTAGCCTGGGAGGGAATGAGGGGAGATGGACACGTTTTAATACTTTTGAATTTGAAGTCTTACTTATATATATATATATATATATATATATATATATATATATATATATATATATATATATATATATATATATATATATATATATATATATATATATATATATATATATATTAGTGCTGTCAATCGATTACATTTTTTTAATCGCGATTAATCGCATCAATGCCTGAGTTAACTCGCGATTAATCGCATTTTAATCGCAAATTTTTTTTCTGATTGAAAATCATTTAAATACTCTCGATGACATACAAAAAATACATACAGGCTAGGTTTGTGCCAATGTTCTTTTTTTTAATGAAAACAGGTCACAGACACTGATTTATGCCATAGAAACATATGGCAAGAAGATGGGGAGGCATGTAGCAAAAAATAACAAATATGTAGCCAAAAAAAAGGCCCTGAAAACAGGCTGATGTAAAAGACAGTCTTTACAGTTAATACAGTCTTTTGAACAAAGACAAGCATTTTACCCTACTGCTATAAAATTTAGTAGAGTTAACATTAGATGTTAATTAACCAAGATAATAATTAACAATTTTCAATCAATACATCAAAATCAATAGACCGACATCACTAGATGGAGGTAGTCTATGCTCTAGAAAGTTACTTTTCAGCCTCTTAACAAAAATGAGAACACACACCCACCCACCCACACACAGACACACACAGACACACCCACCCACACACACAAACACCCACCCACACACAGACACACACACCCACACACACACACACAGGATACCGACCTGTGGCGAACACAGACAGCAAGAGTGCCGTAGAAGATTCCATTTCACCTCAGTAATCTGTTTTCTCAGCGTATTTCAGGTTGCTACTAGTTACCAGACACTCAACTTGTTTGTTGGTGGTGGGGCTTAAAGAAAAGGCACTAGCGTCACCCAGTGTATGAGCGTCTGTTTCCCTTGAGGAGCTCCGCTCTCGAAGCCTATGGAAAATGCATAGACTGGGGGAAAATAGCCCCGCCTTCCCGCAGGCTGCAGCGGGATGTACTTGGAAAATTTTACCATAAAACCACATAGCGTTAATCTCACGTTAAAAAAATTATCGCCGTTAAAATGGCCTCGCGTTAACGCGATAATAACGCGATAATTTTGACAGCACTAATATATATATATATATATATATATATATATATATATATATATATATATATATATATAAAATGTAAAATCAAAGGACTGCATAAAAATATGTTTTAAAGGTTTAAGGTAAGACAATTAGAATTAGCCTCTTGCAAAAACATTGATTTGCCTTCCATTTTCTACCCATCACAATCTCATTATTTTTTTATGGATTCACACCATGATACAAGAGACTTCTGCTTCGACCACTTTGACTTTTTAGGGAGCTTTAACAAAACATTAGAATATATATATATATAAAACAGTGTTATATAATGAGTAGGTAAAACAATGTATCTATAATATTTAACACCCTGGGTATTTTAGTGTTTAACAAGCTTTTTCATTGATGATAAAGATAAAGATTATTAGTCCCAGTCTTTCTTTACCCATGAGTGTTGTGGATGAGGGTGGCATTGAAGGTAGAGCCACAGTGGCAGCATAGGATTGGCCCGCTGGTTGCTGCTGGGGGCCATCTTCCTGGTTCTCCTCTTCCTTCTCCTCCTCCTGCTCCTCACCTGAGTCAAAGAGCCTGAAGGAGTGGAGCAGAAAGGACGACACAAAAAAATGAAGGCCAGCATTGTATCAGAGACACTTAAAATATGTTATATTTTCTTTGTTAAACAAAGTTGCACTCTGATAGTAATAAAGGAAAATGCTGCTTTAAAAAAAATGATGTTCATGTAAAAATTATGTTAGATTTTAATATTAGACGGTAGCATATTTCATGTTTTTCATGATTTCAATTCATTTTACACTGCAGATATTTCTGCAAACATGCCCACACCTGTGCTTTTGAACAAGGACGCATTCGCCTCCATCCTGCGGATCTACATTGTAGATATAGAGGAATCCCTCTGAGGATGCAACTAGCAGACGTGGAAGTTTCTGAATCCTAAAAACAGACCAGATATAAGTAGACTGATAGCTTAATGAGCTGTATGCCAAAATCATCCATATTAAGACAATAAAAGATCTGAAATATTTCAGTTAGTGTGCAGTATATCTAAAAGATATGAATGTTCAAGTTTTATCATTACATTATGGAAAATAATGAACTTTATCACAAGGCGCTAATGTTTTGAGAAGGACCTGTAGTGCTGCACTTACGTAGTTAGGGCACAGATGTTCTTCAAGCCAAACATGTTTAGCCGTACAGTGGCGAAGGCCCGATCCTGATGCATCATGTCAGAAACATGGGTGGGCAAGTAGGTACTGGCAGCTGTGAACATTTTTCCTACATATGCTGACCAGGTTGGAGATTCTTCATCTTGACTGGAAAGAAAAAACATGCATTACAGGTACACGTTTAGCCAGTTCATTCCACTGTAACACCAGCAGGGGGCGATAACATCAGCAATTCACCTGAAAGTGGATCTCAATGCTGCAAAACAGGGTTCTACATTTGCTGTTGTCTGGACATCATAGCTTCTTGTAACCTCTGATTATGGGGTCTTATTGCTGGCTGTCTTTAATAGGAACTAGATGTTTAAAATGTTTAAAAGGTTTTCACCGTTTCAGCCAATACATGTTTTTAATTTACAGAATAAAAGGTATAAGGATGAGGGATTTAGAATCTGTTTTTCTAAATTTAAAACTCAGCTATAATAGAAAATTGAATTAATAAAATATGTTTAAAAAAAGTGAAAAAGTGATAAAATAAAATATAAGAGGAGATCAAGAGGAAACACTTCCTTGTTTGTCCATGGTCTAGTTTTCCAATTATTTTTTTCTGCCTCTCCAGTGGGATTTTAAACAATCAACCATGAGCTCAGCCTGCATCTTCCCAGGAAGGTTCTGAGTCAACATGTTGGGATTTGTTTCCTATGAAATCTCAGGGTAAATAAACAGGAAAAATGATCTCCTCGGACGGACAGAACTCATGCATCCATTCAGTTTCAGACTGCAGTTTGGTTTAAGATCGATCTCCAGGGCTTAAAGATAAAGATATAACATCATGGAACTTCCAGTTCTATTTTTGAATCAAGCTGTTTGTTTTAAGTTTTCATGTGTCCAATGTGTCTAATAATAAATTATTCAGTTTCCAGAGATGGAGGTTGAAGCAGCTGCAGTCGCTCTTTAGCAATGGTTTAAAAATATATATTTTATCTTAAACTAAATCTTTAACTTATGGAAAGACTTTCTGAATCTCACTTAGAAGTTATGAACATATGAATATTTGGCACTTGCAGTACATCAAATATGTGAAATATATAAAATTGTTAGTTGGGACTTGATAAGTTTTGTTTTTTATTGCTCAAAGAGCCAGTTTCTGCTCCCTGTCTCTAAACCTCCCATTCTTTAAGAACTTCCTGTCAGTCAGACTGTGATGTTAGAAACGTCTGTCTCTTTAAGGCCTGTTCACTGAAAAGGCCTGTTTGGGCTGATTATCAACATGATTAAACCACAGACATCTTTATAGGATGTGCTAAATGACTTACAGGAGGAAGTTGTTAGACAATGGAGAGACAGCTTGGAGGGCAAGTACTCCAGCATTGTGTGGGACATTTATAATGGTGAAAACTGCAGCATATCATATGGTGGTCTGCAAAAGTATTCAATCTTATATTCATGTTGTGTTGCCTCACAAACTGGAGTTGAAATAAATCATTTGGGGGTCTGAACAATCCATCCATTCATCCATCCATCCATCCATCCATCCATCCATCCATCCATCCATCCATCCATCCATCCATCCATCCATCCATCCATCCATCCATCCATCCATCCATCCATCCATCCATCCATCCATCCATCCATTTTCTGACACGCTTTATCCCTGCTTGGGTCAAGAAGGGAGCTGGTGTCTATCTCCAGCTGTCTACAGGTGAGAGGCGTGGTCCACCCTGGACAGGTCACCAGTCTGTCACAGGGCAACACAGAGACAAACAGGACAAACAATAATTCACACACACTCACACCTAAGGAGAACTAAGAGAAGCCAATTAACCTAACAGTCATGTTTTTGCACTGTGGAGTACCCGGAGAGAACCCACGCATGCTCAGGGAGAACATGCAAACTCCATGCAGAACCTTCTTGCTGCAATGCAGCAGTGCTACCCACTGAGCAGCCCGGGTCTGGACCATTTCATTGTAACAGGCTTCTCCAGACCTTTTCACCTTTTTCACATCAGCAGCTCCTATCTGTGAAAAGAACAGAGCCCCAGTGCTGAACCTGGCAATTCTTTTTCTCTGGCAACTGCCAATTGAGCTCCATGCTGCAGGTGTTCTGTCAGACCAGCATACCGATAGTCAATATGCATGAGCAAGATGTCAGATTTTCCCTTTAGTTTTGTATGAAAAATAGACTTTAAACTACCTTGATGGGTGTTTATCCCTTTAGTCATGTACAAAAAAAGTAAGTAATTAAATTATTTTTTGTACATGACTTAAGGTATATACTCAGAAGAGAGAAACAAGACCAGAGTGTTTATGGGAGATTCTTTCACTCGATGGCGTAGACTGAAAGAACAGGTCAGGCTTCCCCCTGATGCTTGGTTGCAAAGGGAAAGTTTGGCATGCTATTTGGAGAAATCCATTTCACATCACTGCTGGTAAAAGTTATCTACCTCTAAATTGTAGCTTTTCAGGGAAGGTAAGTTTATCTAGTCTGTAATTTACACCGTTAGTAGTTATATGGTGGCCACAGATCCTTATTTATCTCCCAAACATCCAAATTTCCACTGAAGCACACACACACATTCAAGCATGTCATGATTTTTTTAAGGAAACTCGCAAATAAAACAGAAAATATGGGTGAGATGAGATCCATCCGAGCGACCGTCTTTTCATTACGTCCCTGCACTTTTTTGAGGAAAAAATGACTCATGCATGCTCTTGCATGTTTTTAATAGGCGTTCCCTCTCTGGAGTGACCACAGGGTTGTGTGTGTGTATTTTTTTTAAAAGTGGAAATGGTGGGTCTTTTCAAAAATTCACAAAAATCCTCCACAATACCTGTGTACATAGTAGATACTAGCACTAAACTGGCTGCTTGTCTTACTTGCATTAACCATCCTGTGATTTGAAGGTAAAGGGAAACAATGAACAACAATGTTCACCTTGGGCTGTGCTGTTCCAGTTTGAAGATATGAACAGTTTCCGTGTTACTGGAGGCACACAGGAACTGAGCGTCTGCACTGAAGGCCAAGGAGCTGATGCTGACGTATCTGAAGGACCAAACATTAATGAGAGCGAATTAAGCTTAATTTTTTTTTTAACAAAAAGGATATGCATGACTAAGATGACATATGGTAAAGTCTAGTAGGAAAACATGCAAAAAAAGAAAACAATTGGTTTGACAGTATATCTCTAAGGATAACCTCTAGAGCTGCAGTGACGTTAATTTCCTGACACTAGCTTAAAAATTCAAAATGGCCTCTATGCTTAGTTCTGACCATTTATAAATCTTTGGTACAAACACTTTATGGAGCTGTAATAAGATGCAGAATCACAGCTTCTCCTGTTCTTTAACCAGACCACATTGATTTTAAGTATGAAACACTTGATTGCTGGGAGTTGTTTTACATGGCCTTTCAGCATCCTCAATGAGACAGCTTGACACAATATCAGTGAAATGAGTAGTGATTTCTTTACTTCCTTCTTTTTTAAGCATTGTCTTATTTATTTTTCACTACAAAGAGGAGTCTAATGATGGCAGTCTTCATGCACAGTTATAGAAAAGATTCAAAACACCTGTAAGAACAAACCTTTTCATCCCTCGCCGAAACTCAAACAACTTTTGACCCTCTGGAACGCTGAAAACTCTGATTACAGTACCCTACACAAAAGAAGAGAAAGTTCACACCTGATGTAATGGAAACCAACATAAAGGCAAAAAAATACGCCCATACCTTCTCAGATGCACTGGCCAGCTTTGTGCCAGAGGCGTTGAACGTCAGGGCCGCCAGTGGACTGTCGTGGGCTTGGATCAGAGTCCCTGTGCTCTAAAAGCAAAATAAAACAATTATTTTCTAAATTCATTCATGTTGGTTCTATGGAGTCTTACAATCCTGCTCCTCACCAGGTTGTTTGCATCATAGAGTGTGATCTCTCCAATGGTGGCACTGCCAGGATAAGCCAGGAAGGAGTTACCGTGGTTGACAGACAGCGCACACAGACCTAAGGTGTGGCAGAAGAAATTATCAAGAACACTTTATTGTTTTTTTTACACCAAATTAGTCAAAATTCCACTAAAACTAAAATAAGGATGAAAAAAAAGCATTTTAATGTCTGAACCACATAGAAACTGAAGCTTTTAACTGACAATTGAAAGTTAAGTACTTGATATTTAATAGAAAGAAAATAGAGGCAGGAATAAATATCTTCCAACAAAGAGTACTACAAATGACTATTTCTACCTTTCTACCGTAGTTACAAAGTCATTTGTATTTACACATGTATAGAGTCTGGAGAAAACACATTTTACTGGATTAGAGAAAGACAATGAGGATAATACTTTTTTTTTCCTGGCTAAACCCATGACTTTTTGTAAAAAATAAAAACTTATTCCTATTTATTTAACCGAGAGAACCCGAATTGTACACATTTAATTTGGGAAAAATAAGTTAAATTAGGGGTTAAATAAACAAGCCATTTCCCTATCATAACTTTAAAAAAATGTTTGCAATAACAAAATGAGACATCTGGACGATAGAGGCCTGAATGTTGAAGAGAATTACAGTGAAAATGGGCCCAATCCACAGGGGCAGATTTACTCAGTCTATTTCTATAGTAAATTTAAATCAAGCTAAAATGTTTTGATCAGCAGAAAAGTTTACCTCTTACTGGGCATCAGTCTTTGATTCAATAAATACAGTCAATCTCAATCCTTACTTGTTTTTTTTTCCCAGGATGAAATTTGTCCTGTTAACATGATTTACTGCATATTTCTTCCTTTTCTGACCTTTAGTTATATCAAGTTGCATTGAGGGATATCCATTTGTATATTGATACATATGCTGGCTTGTAGCGAGGACTTTATGGCAGTATATACAAAAATATGAATATTGATGATAAGATAAAAACAAACAGGCTCTGTTATAAGAAAAGCGTTATGATCTGCAAATTACCAAATTCAAGTATTGCAATAGGATTGTAAGTGAAATATTGTGGATTGTTTACCCCTAATTAAGTATAGACCTCTCTCTTACAGGAGAACTACAAGCTAAGAAATGATGCAAACTGAATTATACATAAGGTGGTTTCTAAAGGAACGCTTTTGACTCATCTCAGCAAGTATCAGGAATCCAGTTTGTGTGGTGGTTTTGTGTATTTCTCTCCCTCCACCACCAGGTGGTGCCTTGTCATTTTTGGTTCTTGGGATCTTGGGATCATTATCTGGAGGAGTACTTAAGCACTGGACTGTCACTACCTCAACGCCAGAGTGTTTGCCAGTTTCAGGAACTCTAGCCAAGCTGAGTTTAGCGTCTAACTTAGAGTCCAACTGAGTCTTTTTTTCTCTGAGTCTAACCTTGTTTTTGTCTTTGCCTTTTGGCAGGAAGTCCTCCTGCGTACTGGATGTTTGGCCTTCTTCCCCTGGAAGCATTATTATCTGAGTTCACACTGAGCAGGGGACAAACCTCCACATGAAATCCAAGTGACAGTTCGCTCCATTGCTCCTCCGGGTCCAAAGAATGTCTACTAGTCCACTCTTTAACATGTCCCCTCTTCTCTGGATCAAACCACACAGACTGGATTCAAATTGAGAGAAGAACCCCCTCAAATGTGAGTCCCTCACTAGCATTATCCTTACGGCATTCCAGATTCCCACGGCCCCTGAACTAATTGTTGTGAAATCCTTGCCAGACTTTCTAGTTCCTGTTCAGCAGCTCTCTGAGTTCCAGATCAAACCCCCTTCGACCCTAACCTCAATAAACCTGCTAAACCTTTGCCTTGCTCTCTGAGTGGTTCTCTGCATTTTGGCGTCAGACCTTTTAATAAATGCTGTTGATGAATTCCAAAACACAAAAGTTTTGAAGTTATATGACTGTGTATGCTGACAGACCTAGGCTTGGGTTATTCTGCTGCTGGGTTTGATTTAAAACTGTATGTTATATAAGTCCAAACGCAATTGTTTTTCTTAGCTTTGGTCTTAAGAAAGAACATAACATTTCAAGTATAGAAAAAGGAGTTTTGAATGACTGATTTAAAAACTCCACTCAAAGATGCTTCTTTATCCCACACAGCTGGAGTTTACCTGTTGGGTTGACTGGTGTGTTAAGCAGGGTCTTGAGTAATTTCATGTCTCTGATATTGTGGATGTAGATGGACTCTTCCAGGCACACGACGAGTCGCTGATGTCAACATGTGGCAGAACAGATGATCAGCAAAACAATGCAACTAAACAGAAGCAGAAAGATCAGCCAGGTGTTCTTACCTGTCTGTTCAGCTTGACCGAGAGGATGTTGTTGGAGTAGCTGTAGTTACATATTTCTGTACCCTTCTTGAAGTGGTAGACGTTCATTCGACGGGGCAAGGAAAGACTGACCACAACAACCAGACTGCTGGAGAACAGTCGCTCCACTATATAGACATCTGGGCATTCCACTGAGGGACAGAAATAAGAGGAACATTTAATTTTAAATGGATTGATTTATCTTTAAGGAAGACGCTATGGGTACTTTGGAAATAGACTAAAGACTTTCTTTTGAAGAAGCTAATTGTTAAAGGCTTTCAGGTTATCTTGAGCATCTCTGTATTCATGCTGCTAGATGCTGGGGGTGCTGGAGGACAACCCAACCACTTGTATTTATGTAAGCATTATTTTCCATCTATAGGGGAATGTTGGCCTAGTGGTTAAAGCAATGTGCTTGTGCTCTGAGAAGGTTGCATTACTCGGTTTGAGCCCTACAGCCTGCAGTCTGTGTCCCTGAGCAGGAAACGTACCCCCTGATTCCTCCCCAGGCGCCGCACAAACGAAGCTCAATGCTCCCCAAGGGGATGGGTTAAGATGCAGAACAAAATGGTTTTTATTGTGAGATCAATGATGTTCCATTATTTATAATAACCTTTATTTTTTCTTTCTGTTATCTCTATCCACAAAAGGTGGTCGTGACCTGTGTTTGTTCTTTGTTCTCCTGGATGAAGCATTTATTACTGTCTTATAGAGTGTAAACTGATGAAAAGAAATTCAGTTATTGAATCAACTCATGTTTTCACTTACATCATACCAAGGGTGCATTTATACATTATATGCAAGCATAAATGTTAGCAATATAATATTTGACCATTTACTCAACTATATAAATGGAGACTTTCATGCAGGAACAAACTAATTTGGCATTTATCATTTATACATTGAGCAGTCATGATGTAATGTGTTGGACTCACTGTATGAACAATGTGAACCTGATAAAGTCTGTGATAACTGCTTAGATAGTAACTCTTCGAACAGACAAATAGTGCAGTGGGATAGAGAGATAGATAAATAGAAAGAATATACCGGTAAGTACAAAATGCATGCTAGACACAGAGTAGAAGTTATGTGTCATGGTGACATAAGCACAAAAACAGCCCAGTCCATACCTCCCTCATGGATACAGTCCAGTTTGTCCACAGTTGTGACAGAGAAGAGTCGGTATCCCGTTTTTGTGCCCACAGACAGAGAACTACGATCAAAACATACATACAATGAGAACGATGATCTAAACATACTTCACAGACTTGGAAGTCTTAATCTGAGCAGGAACAAAGCCCTAAACATTTAGCTAGAGTCAGGACAGATTGGTTTATGTCAAAGTATATTCATGCATTGGTATAGCATAGTCAACCTAGTTATTAATCAGTAGCAAAACAGGAAAATGTTGGTTTATAAAAGCTCTCTGCAGAATGGATTTCAAGCCAGTTTGCAAAAGAAAGCAAAGAAAGCATTACTAGAGGCAATACCTCATTGGACCTGCAGCTATGGTTGCAGCAAAGTTAAAAGACCAAGAATCGGTTTTAGCCTTTACAATTATCCCCTAACTTTTTAAAATTACCAGTAAAAACTGAGGGTTAATTTGAGATATTATCAGGGCATATTAAAGTTTATGGGGTATTGCATTTATTCTATAAGCGAGGTTGTAGGCCTAGTGGTTAGAGCAGTGCGCTTGTGCTCTGAGAAGCTTGGAAGTACCCGGTTCGATCCCTGCAGTCTCCACTCTGGGTTCCTGAGCATAACCCTTAACCCCACAGTGCTCCCTGGGGGCCACACTATCGCAGCCCACTGCTCCCCATGGGGATGGGGTAAATATAGAGAGTGAATTCCCCCATTGTGGGACAATAAAGGGATTTTTACATTACATTTGTAATGTATAAAAGAAGTTCTAGTTCAACTATTGCCTGAATAAAAACGGCCAGTGGTGCTTAATTTATTTGTGGCTTGTCTTATGACATCACACAAACCTTTGCCACCTAATTAGTAACATTTTAAAAGTCCTGCTGAAAATAATAGTTTAATAAAGACAATCACCCCAGAGTTGGATAGATAGAAGGTAGCATTGTTTGCCACCTAGATTATTATTCTACTGAATGCTGATTATACATTAATGTTAAAGCAGTGAATTAGGTTAGATTACAAACTGGCCACTTTGATGAGCAACAGGCCCTGAAGATTAACACAGTGGCCTAATTTACATCAAGCTTATCTTCAAGTTGCGATGTTCCGATTAAAAAGCCTTCAGTTTTGTTCTTTTTGCTTTCTGCTTCAGTGTTGTGTCAGAAAATGTAACTATTGCTTTGCAGCAATGGCTGGAAGTCGTTATGCAACTGCTTGAACAGCTCGAAGGGGCTTTGAGTTTTCACAGGGCCCGGACCGGACCGGCCCGGCCCGGCCCGGCCCGCAGCTTGCTTACGTGGTGTCCTGGTTGAAGGAGGCGCAGATAAACTGGGGATGCGCTCCGGGCCCCTCCGGTAACGTCTCCTGGTTCTCCATCCGAGCCAGTTGGTCCTCTATAGTCTCTCTGTCAGAGGTTGAAGGCCTCTGGCTCGGGCTGATCCCCGCCGGAGCCCTCCGCTCCTCCTCGGCGTCCAGATTCCAAGCGCCACGCGCCACAGTCTACAGGGAAAGGATCGTCCGCAGGGCGCTCATTACCCGGATGGTGGGCTGTACTGAACCTAGACCAGAACAAAAATCAACCGCAACATCCCCCGTATAGAATCACTGGCATCAATCAGAAATCCCGTTATTATGTGTTAATAACTTCCACTGCCATCACAGAAAAACAAAAACAGCTGATGGGAGGATGCGTCACTCTCAGCCGAGGAACGATTGGCTCATTCTAACATATCGGCCCCTCTTTCTCTGATTTCTATTGGTCAATCTTTTTTGCGCTGACAGATGATTTGATAAAACGTCTAAACATCGTTTAGGTACTGCCTATCGAAAGGAATCAGGACATCTGATTGGTCCTTTGGCCCTTCTGTCTTATCACGAGGAATTGTTTTGGTTATTCAATTGGATAAACCCTGGGGACAAAAACAACCGGGAGGAGGGCAAAAGGCGTGCAGTATATAGTTTGAATAGCTGTGGAGCAGAGATAGCTAATGCAGACTGCTGATCCTGTTGTATAAAGTTTATACATATATTATTTATAATGTGTTTGAAAGTGTCTCTCTTATTGTGTGTTTTAAGAATTCATAATATTTCACTTTTAAACATGGGTTGGAAACTAAAATTGTATGACAGCCTTTTTTTATTCAATGTAAATGATAATCTGAATAATGGCAGGGGCGGATTTAGGAAGTTTGGGGCCCTAGGCAAAAACAGACAGGGGGCCCTCTGAATTGAGAAGACAACACATAAAAAAGACCCATTATACAGATCCAGAAATTTTTATAGAATAGACATCCATTATCTGTTCTAGGTTGTGTCCCTCTCTTCTTGTCCCTTTTCTTGTTGTTTTCCTCTCTATGTTTTGTACTCAGCTGACTTTTCATGCTGTCTCAAATGGAGTGAAAGATTTTTTCCAAGCACTAAGCTCACTTAGCTGATTGCTCCTTCCTTTGTTTCCAAACAGGCAACGGCAAAAGTAAATAACCCAGTCCTTCTTTTCACTGTAGACAAGCCATGATCTGCTTATCTGTTCTCCATTTTTCATTTGGATTAAATAATAGCTGCATGAATCATGACAGCAGACAAGATAGAGGAGAGCAGGAGGCGGGGTTACCAATCTACTTGCTTTGGAGAGCAGAGTTCGGTGCTTTTAGATGTTGTCGCCAAAGTTTCAGTAAGAGAAAAAAGTCGCTAGACTTGGTACTAGGTGCTTTTTTTTAAAATAAAAGTGCTACAGGGGTCTGAAAAGACGCTAAATATAGTGAGAAAACGTGAAGTTGGCAACAATTCTCTTCACGTTTGTTTTCAAATGGTTTACTGCTGTCTGTTTGGACCTTTCTGTGTTAGGAATCCAGTTTGTGTGGGTTGTGTTTTTGAGTGTTTTCCCTCCACCACCAGGTGGCGCCTGGTTCTCGTTGGCCCTCCCACACACCTGCAGATGGTTGCCTCATTACCTGAAGACTCTTAAGCTGCTGACTGCCACTACATTGATGCCAGAGTGTTTGCCAGTTTTGGGAAGGCATCCTGCAAACTGGATGTTTTGGACCTTCTCCCCCTGGAAGGATCGTCTGAGCTTCAAACTGAGCTGGGGATTCAAACTGGTGGTTTGGATCAACTTTTCCCCAAATTATTGCTTGAGCTTCGCACTGAGCAGGGGATTCATCTCCACAAGAAACCGTTCAAGTACCATAGGAAATCTAAGTGGCAGTCAGCTCCTCCGTTCCTCAAGGAAACACCTCAACTTGGGTAAACCCTGTCCGCCCTCCAACGAGCAAGTCTATTACTGGAACAACCCACACCAACTGGATTCACAGAAAGACACCTTTACTGGAAACTCCCGGTTCGCCATTGTTCAGAGCAGCACTGGACCCATCTCTACCAGTTCTCAGTAAACCAGTTAAACCTTCCCCTGTTCTCTCTGTTTGGTTTTCTGCATGTGGGTCAAATCTTTTAATAAAATAATGACATTCTGAACATGCAAATGGACTGATCAAATGTGGTGGACACTGAAGGGGGAGGGCTGAGACAGTTCATTTTATAAGCATTCTGATGGCATGTTAGCAAAAGGATTTTTATCAAAAACATAATCAATGTGCACAAATAACAAATAGTTGTATTAATCATACATGTAAACAGAGTTTTATGGGGCCCCTAGGAACTTGGGGCAATATTAGAGACAATCCCCTTAGATTTAATTTTTGCATCATGGTCATTAAACAGTGGGCTTCTCTGTGGATTACATGGCTGTCATTAGAATCTGAGATGTTTGAGTTACTGTACAGTATTTTAAAATTCACTAGATTTATATTTAGTGTCCTCTATGAAGTTATAATGCCCTAAACTTAAATGTTTGTCTCTACTTATGCACACCATTACCTCTGATAGTGTTTCTTTAGCATTTGAATAAATGAAAATGAAAAAAGCTCATAGGTGCTGGTTTAGATAATTGTAAGTCAGAAATAGCTGCACCAAAAAAAGGCAGCAGTAAAATAACTAGTGGAACTGAACACTATTGATACTATATTTCAAGTATGTTTTTATTGTTTAAATGGACACGATGGAGAGAACTACATGGTAATGTCAGCATGAACATTGTGGGGTTTTTTTTAGCTCGCAATGTGGCCAAGGTAATCTGCACCACTAATTCACACTAAGTTTGACACAAACCATAACTGCTGTAATTGCTGTACCTCACTGAGTCGGTTGCAAAATGGTGCCTTTGCAATATTTATTTGCAAAGTTTTTCTTGGGTTTTAATGCATAGAATGGAAAGCATGCAAGCATTATATTGGCTTGTTTTGATATAGATGATAACATGATCGCTAAAATGTTTGTCATGGATTTCAAAACTGTTAAGCAATTGAATCATTTTTCTTATTTTGGTCTCCTTATTAGTCTTCCACACTGGCAGACCTCGACAATAAAAGTTTTGCTTATTTCTCTGTACATCTTAAAAGTAATGGCTGTAGAGCTTCTATTTGAACAGCTTGATCTCAGTAATGCGTTTGACACAGTTGATCTTAAGATAATTATTAATAAAAAAAAATGTTTTGAATCACCTGGTATTGTGCTAAATATGTAGATGAGTAATATGTATTTGTATAGCACTTTTCACAACTCAAATTCCAAAGTGCTTTGCAAATCTAACTATGTATGCTGATGACACACAGCTTTATATCTCACTACGTGACTCTAGTGAGCAAAAATTAGTGAGTGTCTTCCAAATGCAAATCAATGGATAGGTAAAATTATTCAGACAGCTCAATGTAGACAAGCTGTGAACCAGTGTTTTTGTCCCCCAAACTGCTGCAGATAATCAGCACTTAACCCAATGAGGGTAAATTCAGTTAGCCTGAGTGTGTCTTTGGATTTCAGACCTAAAACTTGAAAATCATATATAGTCAATTGAAAAGTAAGCTAACTCTTGTCGTACTCACAAAATAAATGCTGTACTGTAAAACAGGAAACATAGAAGCTGACTGTGCCTTTATTTTCTCAATAATTCATTTCAGTTTATTTATATAGTGCCCATTCACAACACATACCATCTGGAGGCACTTTACAAAGACACTACAGTAAATCTGGTTAAAACATTTTATTTTTTATTAAATTTAATTAAAATTAGTTTATTTATATAGCTCCAATTCACAACATATGTCATCTCAAGGCACTTTACAGTTCAACCAGATCATCCAGTCAAATTGATTCAAAGTTTTCTATCTAAGGAAAACCAGTTGATTGCATTGACTCATTGACTCAAATACAGTCCCTCACACTAAGCATACTTGTAGCGACAGTGGAGAGGAAAAACTCCCTTTTAACAGGAAGAAACCTCCAGCAGAACCAGGCTCAGTGTGAGCGGCCATCTGCTGAGGCCGACTGGGGTTCAAGGAGACAGAAGCAGAGACACAAAAAGCAGCGGTAAAAGGCGGCCCCGTCCTAGAAACACACAGCCAGGCAGACGAGCTCTGAGCCAGCTCCCATGTCAGAGGATGAAGAGAGCACATCCACTCAGTCACGGTCAGAGAAACAGGACCACACTGGAAAACAGGCAAATCTCCAACATCTATAAACAAGGGTGTTGATGGAAGCAGCACAGCTGATGTTTCTCTCCAGGATGGAGTCACAGCCAAACAGGAACAGACCAGATGAAGCTACTATGAGAAAAAGCAGAGAGAGCAGAACGTTAGAGATTGAACTAACAGATTCTTTAGAGTGGGAGAATAGAAGCAGAATGATGAAATGGGGGTCCCTATGTCCTCCAAAAGTCTAAGCCTATAGCAGCATAACTATAGAGATAGATCAGGATAACCTGAGCCACTCTAACTCTAAGCTTTATCAAAAAGGAAAGTTTTAAGCCTAGCCTTAAAAGTAGACAGGGTGTCTGCCTCACGGACTAAAACTGGTAGTTGGTTCCACAGGAGAGGAGCCTGATAACTAAAAGATCTGCCTCCCATTCTACTTTTAGAAATTCTAGGAACCACTAGTAAAACTGCAGATTGAGAGCGAAGTGCTCTGTTAGGAACATAAGGAACAATCAGATCTCTGATATCAGATGGAGCTTCAGTTCAGTTCAGTTCAGTAGCTTTTATTTGTCCCAGTATGAGCAATTTTGTGCAGTAGTAGTACACCTTTCACACACATGTTCACATTTCACAAATCACAGATAAAAAATAAAAGAAGCACAAGAGACACATAAATATTTAAAAGATAAAAGTAAGGTGGATAAAAGAGACAGAAATGTAAAAAAATAAAATAAATAATAAAAAGTAAATAAATATGTGCAAATGAGAGCATAGACCTGAATGCATGCAACATATGGCTATCTGCTTTTCCTGGTAGAGTTTAGCAGCTGAACAGCAGAGGGAATAAAGGAGTGTTTGTATCTGTTGGTCCGAACTGGTGGGTATTTAAAACGGGAACCAGAGGGTAGGAACTGAAATTCGTTATGGGTATATTTATCCAAAATGGACTCAGCCTTCCTGATTACCTGATCTTCATACATTTCAGTCATGTTTTTCTGTTGAACACCCGTGATCTTACTACACACCTTAATAATCTTAGATATGGCATTTTTGTTCTTTACATTAAGAAGAGCGTACCAGCAGATGGCAGAGAAGGTAAGTATGGACTCTATAAAAGATCTGTAGAACATGGTCATTAGAGTTTTGTCAACCTGAAACCTGGCTAACTTTCTCAGGCAGTATAA